GCAGGGATGGGTTACAATAGTGCCCCCTCTTGTGGACAAATCTGAGACAGCACCCAATAAATTTCTTTACAGTAAGATCCAGTTCAGAATCCTGTATTGCATTTACTAGTAATTGCCATGTCTCTCAGTATGGTACAGTTCCAGGGTCTCTGACTTACACGACCTTGGCACTTTTGAAGATTACAAGCAAGTTTTTTGGTAGAATGCCCTTTATTTGGGTTTGTCTGATGTATACTCGTGATTTGGTTCTGATTATGTATTTTTGTCAGGAACATCACAGGAGCGATGCTGCAATTTTCTCAAGGCATCCTACCAAGTGGCATGTGATTGCGATTTGTCCTATTCTTGATGTGCGCTCGAATCGGAGCCTGCGCTCTTTAAAATATATTTTTATTGATTTCAGAGAGGAAGGGAGAGGGAGAGAGATAGGAACATCAATGATGAGAGAGAATCATTGATTGGCTGCCTCCTGCACGTCCCCCACTGGGGACCGAGCCCGCATCTCGGGCATGTGCCCCTGACCGGAATCAAACCCGGGACCCTTCAGTCCACAGGCAGAAGCTCTATCCATTGAACCAAACCGGCCAGGGCCAGGATACGGTCTTGCCCTTCATTATTCCCACACGAAGGCCTGTCCCGCCCGCCTTGAAGTCTCACAATTCCTCACTAGTATCCTATGAACGAGTCCTATATCCCCGTTTCACAGATTTAGAATGTGAGGCGGGCAGAAGAGCCACCAAGGAGGCTCGGCGACGTCCATCCCTTTTATCACAGGCTGGGCGTCGCCACGAGGCACACGCGGCAGGGAGGCGACTGGCCGGGGCATCAGCCCCCGCCCCACCCCCAGCCACGTGGGACCCTGAGAATCCGCGCCTGCTTTCTAGCATCTCCGCCCTGCCGCTCTGAGCCACGGCCGCGCCAGGCTTTCTTGCTGCCATGGCAACCAGCGCGCCGTTTCCACTCTGACGTCATTGCCGGTGCGCCGGTCCCTGCACTTCCGGAATTCGGGTACCAACTTCCGGAACCGCGCTTCTCGCTCGCAGTAGGAGTTTGTTTGGGACGTTGAGCTCGTAGGAGGTGAGCTGGGCTGGGGGGCGGAAGGGACGGGGACTCCGTCCCAGGGGAGCGGGTGTCAGTGCCCTGGAAGGGGGCAGCCTCGGCCCCGCTTCCGTTTCGCAGAGGCTCGGCCGAGCCCGAGAGGGGCG